CAAAGCATAAATTATTTGTTCTCTAGTATTTTACACTAACATCTTTAAGATCTCCAGCAACTGATGCTGTTGACTTAAGTTAATGTTCAGTATCAATTCACACCAGAAGTGCATCACAGGGCTTCCTTTAAAATTTTATGTAGGGCCTTCCATGGATTCTCAAAACTTTTCGGAGACATCTTCATTTAACAGATTAAGGATGATGAGATATTAGAACATTCCTCTCAGTACCTTAGTATTACTTTTCCACATCCTTCTGTTAAATTCTGGACCACCCTTTGGCGGGTGGCTTCCTCTCAGTCCCTGAAATTTAAACAGATTTCAGCCATCAATCATGTAGAAACTGACAAAATCATAATAAAAAAGATTTCCCAACTATTTGACACAATACATGGGTTAAAAAGAAATAGAGGGCTTAATCTAATTTTCTAAGATTATTCCTTGCAAAGGCAAGACAATAGGTGAACTCTCATGAACAAAGTAGTGCTCCTCACAACCCAGAAAAATTAATTAACAGGTACCAGCAAGATATAAAGGATAACCTGTTCAAAGGCCAAGCTTGCTACACTAAACATGAGAATGGAACATTCATCACCTGAGCAAGAAAAAAATCCTGACACTCTGACTTATTTTTTTAAACAGGAGTAACAAGTAATTGTTTATCTGATGCATTTCCTTATTAAGTGTGTTTATTTTAAGTTCAAAGATAAATAAACTTTCCCAAACAATCAGGTTACTTTCTAAATTTAGTTTACTCTAAAAAAACAATGATTATCATGTTTTTGCACTTTTGATCATTACCTGTTAAAAAGTGCACTATAAATTAATAAATTATGACTATTATTAAATTATTATTTATGCTTACTATAATTTTAACCCTTAAACTTCCACGATGTGATTGTTAATTCTCCCATTTACCTGCTTCACATCTGCTTGTGAATGCAGTTAAGAGAATTTTTGCATTCAATCAAGAAAATAAATTCTACTTGGAATGATAAGTCTGAGTATTCTCATTACCTGTTTGCTGGATAATGTATATAAATTAAAGGGAAAAGTTACATGTTGATTAATTCTGAGATTTAAAGGCAGGTCAAATTTGTTCACAGAAAGATTGTCCCAATTACAAAAAGACAATGTGTCAATTAATATCACATAAAATGAGACAGGGAACTGCTGTGAATGTAATCAAACAATCATAATCATGATAACATTTACTCGTATCTATTACATACCATAGTTAGTCATATACCTTGTGACTAGCACACTTGCCAAAATAATTCAGCAACTTAATTGAAACTTCATTTGCATGGCTTATTAAATTTAACCATTTTACTCCCATGGTCTGATTTTTTATTGACTCCCATCTTGCTGGTACATATTTTCTTGTAAATTGGTGATGAGAATGTGTTCTTACATCAAGAAAACAACTTCTACCTGATAAATTTGAGTATTCCTGTTAGGTTGAGTAAAGGATGTATATATGGATATTATAGAGAGAAGTTACATTTTAATCACTCCTGGGAGTTCAAAGATTAACACAATGTTAATAAACTAAAAGATGTACTCCACCTCTTTTTGTCTTCGTACCAAATGAAGAGATTTCTTGAATCTTTCAATCAAATCTACTGTATTCAGGATCTACACAGTCAAATAGATAGGAGATCATATTCACTGACAATTAGTTTTTCTACTTTGATATTGTGTCAAGAACCTAGCTCTTGATAACTCTCAATAAAGAAATGACAACTTTAAATTTAAATTTACAAGACATGCTTCGACATTCTCATGTCATCTTCAGTTGCAAATGAGCTTTTAACGGTTGTACGTTTGAATTTATATTAAGGTACGTTACAAATTACATCAGGACTTATGTTACAATTTGAATATTAAATACGCGTATAATGAAAATAGCTCGCGCATAACTAGACCAAAAAAAATTTGTAATAATAATAATAAATAAATAATAAAAGACAAAGAAACAACATAATTAAAAGGAAAGAGATAAATCCAAATGCTTCAATTGCTGATTACGAATGGGTTTTTCCCACTTAATATGCAATGCCACTTTGATCTTAATTTGGAATTTTGAGGCGGCAGAATCTAAGATCGTGAAACATTCTGTATCACAAGAGTCAAGACAGGCCCTTGATGATTGCAGGTGTCTGTAAATATGCGAAGACTTGTCCGACAAGAGGTGCTCACGAACTTGTATACAAATGTGGTCTCACCAATGCAACTGGCATTACAGCCAGCACACGAACATTATTTTATAAATGACACGCAAACGTAGACCTAGCAGTACTGAATCTTTCTTTCTTGATAACTCCTAAACGTGAAAAGGTTACAAAACTATCAAGTCGTTTAATAACAGCAAAGAACTATACCTCTAGTTTTTCAAAGTAAGAAGCTTTCACAATAGATGCCAAAGTGTCAGGAAGACTCCCATCTGGTATTCCACCCAACATGTCCTATAAAACGTAGATAAGTGTTATTGTTTACTAGTGAGGTCAACACAACTTAAAGAATTCCCATATAAATTCACAAAACCCCTCAGTGTGCCTTAAATTGTTTTAAGGTCTTCACAATGTGGAGTGTGATTCTACAATTCCAGTTGTAAACCTTCCTGCTGGAAAAGATTTTTCCTATAGTAGAAAATATTCTGCCATATATGACATAAATTTCTTTTTCAGTTAACAAAATCAAAGCAAGCGGTTTCCAAAGGGAAATATTGGTCCTTATTACACGACTCGGGCAGTCAGAGGGCCAATAACTAAAATCAACCAATCAAAATGCTCTATTGCCGGTCAATATTCTCTCAGTATTGGACCGGGCACTGTCCCGAATGGTCCCGAATGATACCACACCTGTGTCCCTTTGAACTTCAGTCGTATAATAAATCTCTTATTAACCAAGCTTGCT